AGGAGGCGACAAAGCAGCCAGTCGAGAAAGCGAAGGAAGTCGGCCCCGGTGTCGTCGAGATCGTCAACAAGTACCACCCCCGTCTCGAAATTGTGTTTCTCGGACAACAGTTAGGGAAATTGATCGAGTTGACCCAGGGATATTATTCGCGTATGTACGAGGGAAATATAAAGGACCACAGTGAAAAAGGGGCAATGAATAAAACCATCCTAAAGAAAATACACAAAATTCCGCTATAACTGGAAAACATTCGGGGGATACCGCGGAAGAACGAATTCGTCGGATTTATCGAGTGCGTGAATTTTTTCCGCGGTGAATCGAGCCCGGATAAATTTTCATCGATCCATCGAAACGTCTATAAATACCGGGGTAAAGCACTTTTAAAGTATAAACCCTGCGAAGCGTCGCGCGAATAAATATTTATACACTTCGAGGGTGCGCCATCGATTTTCCAGGCATAGTACTTGACCGCGTGGATCATTCATAACGCGGTTAGAACCCGCACTGAAAAGGCTTTAGCCTCTATTTCGACGTAGTATTTAAACATGAACGATAAAAATAGTCCCTTCATTCATGTTTCACGGGTTTTTTCTTTCGATGCCAGAAAAAATGAAAACACCGCCGGGGGTGAATGAAATTGCCTAACTCGGAAGAGACAAGTAGATTCGAAATCCCATCATGCACGTGGGGTGGGCTGCTAACGAAAATATATCGTCCCCGTTCGGATACGTGTGTCAAGCCTGTAATCTTGTCGTCGATAAAGTGCATTACGGGGAGTTGTAAATAAAATTTCGGGAGTTTCCTCCGCGCTGTTCCTACCCCCATTTCCTCCTAATGGATATCACGATGTTTCGCGAGGCAACATTTCTTTATATCAGGTGTGTGACTTTTTGTTTCGCTGGTGAAATGCTGTACATAACTCGAATCCAAAGAGACTTGGTTCCAGAGGAACCGGTAAGACCAGGAAAATCATCTTCAAATATTGATACATCCTGTTCACCCTGTTTACATCCGCCTTCTTATTTCATCGTGCAACTACAAGCCGCGGATCGATGTTTTATTCACAGAGCTAGAAAATCCCAAAATTTTATGCTGTTAGGATCCCGCCCCTTTGAATGTAATATTTTTGAAAGCAAGTCTCGGCCATGTAGATTCCCAGAATGACCTCTTCTATCTTCTTCGTTAATTCCATTTCCGTTTCATTCCCTTCAACCAATGAAGAAATTTCATTCATTTCCGAATTTCTAATTCCCGTAATTGAGTTCGCGAACGGAATCATTTAATGCGTCCGTAGGGTAAGTAACGTTTATTGACCATTTGCAAAATTGCAAGCCTGTTACGCGGGGGATTATTGTTGCAAAATCGTGTGGAAGGGTCGTCGATTATGGAGACTGAAAAAACATGAATGACCACGGCCCCGTTTGACTACGTTTAACCACACGCAAAAATAGATCGGCCTTCTCGAGTAACAATTTCTTTTTTTCTTTTTTACAGCCTGTAATTAACACTCACGACGACACAATGAAAATCATTGTCACACGAGAAAACACTCGGACGATATTTATATTGGAAGGCATTGCAAATGTTCTCCCATTTTATCGATAAAGTAAATGTTATTGCACGTCGCGCCTGGAACGGGAGATGCATTTATTTCCATGAAACGAAGTACAGACGCATTTACCACGGTTCGTGAACGCCGTCATCTATATTCCAAAGTGTCTTTCCCACCCAAGAAAGGAGTCAGGATACAACAGTGCCGTATATGTTCCACAATGACGCAGGAAATGATAACGCATATACACGCGTTTCCGCGTCGAACGATAGAAAGCTGTATTAATACTCGCTGATATTACTACGAACACCTTGGGACGGTACCGGAGCCACCTTTATCGCTTGTTTATTCTGCGATGTACGACACACACCGTACTCGCGAAGAGAATACATTAATTTCTCCCACCGGGGAATAACTTCGATACGTTTGCCGAAGAAAACTCGAGGAGAACTTCTATTAGACGGAATGAAGATTTACACGATCTAAAGACTCGATTTAACACCGGGGCGAGGCACTCTTGAAAGAACTTTCTGAAATTCATTAATACTCCGGATCAATACTACAATATTTCCAAGAACGTCCGTCGATTTTCTACGTGCACCTATATCACCGATCTATAGAAAACTTCCAGAGAAAACCTTAGCACCGACGTAAAGTTACAATGTCCAGGCTATTAATTCTACAGTAACGACGTTAGAAAATCCGTGAAGCTATCCCAAACTCAACTCTGCCACCCCCTTGCCTAATTATCGTTGTTCCAACACCACGTGATTAGCAACGCAAACCTCCCTATCATTGATCCAACGTGCATGCACCCCCTAGAGTCGTGGATTTTAGACGGTAACATCTGGTAACTTGGCTACCTCGGCGTAAAGAGCCGCCTAGCTGAGGCGAAAAAAAAAAGAAAATGTTACCACAGACTTAGCGTCCACTGGTCGATGAAAACGACTATGACGGTGGCCAGACGATAAAGGTAATTCAGGATAAAATTGCACTGAAACGTGTGGTTGGTATGAATAACGCTAAAAAATAGGATTAGCTTCCATTGGTCTTTCAACTATTTCATCTCGTTGTGTCAAGTCGCTAATTTTACCGTTCCTTAGGGTATGCTAGTCTATTCTTCACTTCCAGTATCTAGAACGGAAGCTAAAGGTAAAAGGGTTAGATGTACCTTTCATAAAATTGTGGGTCCACGGATGCTGGGACATCCACAATCGGAGGATTGCCAGCTGATAGATTAAGTACGAAGCCAGGGGGCTACTGGAATTTATTAATACTCGGTGCAAAGGTACTCCAGAAACGTGGAACTACATGTTCCGGGCAGCTCGAACGGGATTTATCGATTCGAACCCGGGTCTAATCCCGACGATGATTGAAGTGAGCCTGAGCGTGAAACTTTGTGTCTTTAACACACTACACAACAGGTATCCCCCCGTGTGTGAATGCACCGACAGTTCTATTATTATCGTTGCACGTGCCGTTCTAGCAGCAGATAACCGCCTATAGGCGTTCGATAGCCGCTTCATACATAATGGGCTGAGGATCATATTTATTTGCTTTTTAACGATTACACGGTACACGGGCTGGTGGTCCAGGTTCGACCGTAATTTATACGACGACGGTAACACGCGGATGCTGCGGACACGCCGTGTAATCCAGGTGTTGTATTGTGTACAATTTCTAAGCGTTCCGCGGCGGTGCCAGATATGATGCCGGGGCTGCACAGCTAAACGCGGGGCTCAACAAGTCCAAAGAAGTCTGTGTCTACTTTTACTTGCACCGCCGGTGCCAAGAAAACTTACATGCGTCTACGATTATTAGCTAAGAAGAAAAAAAAAGGAGGAACCATACAATATAGGTGTACCAAAAACTTAGAGGTGAAATGTGAACGAATTTCTGTTCGAAGAATTATAACGATACAGTATACCACTCGTTATTCGGAGATAAAGTGAACGGTTTAACTAGCACTTTAGAACAGCTATTTAAACGAAAAATGTTGATTCCATGATGCAGTAACGCGGCTTACTTTCGATAGAAGATTCTCAACAGACCCTGTGGCGAGGCTCTTCTACACGGAATAGTTATAAGATTACAATGGGCGTATGAAAATGGCATGGGGCCGTCCCCGCATGGAACGCAGCCAAAGAGGGAAATTTGATCGAGAAAGAGCCATATTTTATGCAACCGGAGTTAATAGAGAAAAGTAATAACATAAAATCCGTCGTGTACGGAGTCGGGATACCGAGGGTTTTGCTTTCGCTTTCGGTTCGAACTATTCGGACCTTTGACGATGGCACGGATGGGCGCATTAAGCGCAGGGTTTCCTTAAACAGAAGCTTACAGCTTGGCTTCTAAGTTCTGCTTCGGATCGACCGGGTGTCTCTCGTCCTCTCTCTTCACTCCCCAGGAAAGGCAGTCGTGTCCGTTTCGTCTTTTAATAGCCTCCGGGTTGAAAGTTAAAATTTCAACCGCGCCACCGCTGAATATCGATTATCGTTTCCGATACAACCGCGATAAGATGAAACGGAAATGAAATGACTAAAAAAAAAAAAAGAAAACGAAAAGGTGGGGAAGTAAAGGGGCGGCGGTTTAACAGTGACAATTCGACGCAACGAACGAAGCCATAAAGGTGGCTCAACATCGGTTACGACAGAACAGCCGCGGAACTACAAGTGGCAGGAAACGCGTACAAGCTGTGTTCTTGATAACAGCTGATTACGATGAGCTCGCCCAGTCGCGATGCTACGTGCACAAATGAGTCACGTTACACGTTGACGTTCACCGTTGCAACCATGTATTATTATTACCGGCGTTTCCCGCCAAAAAAACGAGCATTCTATCCTGTCGAATCATTCTATTCTTTGCCCTATCCCCAACAAAATACCCCCGAAATGTTTAAATCGTTCACAACGAGGTTCTCACCGGACCTGACACGAATATGTATCGTGTCTACGATCAGGAAGTAAAGATTTTCGGAAGTGTCAGAACCGTGACACGTTCAGGGTCTGCACGTGCCGGGTAAATAACGAAATCGTCGAAATTTTCGTTACCTTTCCTCGCACGACAGAGCCGCGGGTTTACGGTACGAACTAAAAATAGCGGTACCCATAAAATTGCTCGGTAAGAATCGCCACGAGACCTCGAAGACGTGGAGTATGCGAATCCGCGACCGCGTTGGGTAACCTAAACATTGTAAACCCGGCGAGATTTTTAACGTAATTCGTTTCATGCCGGAAAAAGTTGTCGAGGCGAGAAATGATCGGATTGTAAAAGCGTGTCCCTCCCGATGAGTAAAAAACTATCTTCTCTGCGAGACTGACACGTTCTATCGCGAAGACAGCGTAAACGGTATATATAAAGTCTGTCACGATAGTCGTGTTTTATCGTTGATCACCGCGTGGATATTAATCTCATCGGATAAAATGATAGGCCACATGCGAATACTCACGATATCGGTGGCCCGAGTGACAGAAGACTCGTCGTAACCCGTGTCGAGATGGTTCATCTTGGAACGGTTGTTTACGTGTAGGCGACACTTGGATCGACGTGAAATCACCACTTTACCACTGGCTCATAATCGTGCATTACTCTCGTCCACGGATCTCTCGGTGTACCCGTTGATTTTCACGCATAAAATCGTGCGATCACGCGTGCCTGCGCTCGCGGTCGATCTTTGGAATCCATGACAGGTACGAGCACGGGCATGGCCGTGGGCCGCATGCGCCGGAGTACAAGTTATCACGCTCTGCCACTGAGGAGACAGGCGGCTAATACGGTATAGATGAGAAACTCCGTTACGAATTAAAATTTCTGCAATTCTTGCCTGCGCGAGCCTATTAAATCGTGCCCGTAACGAAAACTTAATTAATCCGCCGATTTAAAAAGTTAGTTAAACCACGCCATCTTTTTTGCTAATCGTTTACACGATACATACCACATTTATTTTCGCGCCTGTCAGATCTGTCAACCAGCAATTTGTAAGATGAACAATTCTCGTGTAAACAGCAACAAAAAAGTAACAGAATTACTTTCTGATCTTCATGTAGAATCCACTTTTTAGCCTTTAATAGAATGAAAGGTGAGGAGTGCACGTAGCTTTGAAATTGAAGCAACGGTTAACTGCGGTTAAACGTCATTAATCGCTATTTCCGGTTCAAGCTTCATACAATATATTAACCGTTTACTTAAAATATTAATTAAATGCGACAATTTATTATAGCGTTTGTATACTAAAAATATTGGTTTTAAACGTACATGTAATCAATTAAAAATATATGTAATAAACTAAGAAATAAACGTTTTAGATATATTAATTTTAAATCTTGATCGATATCGACCAATCAGTGCGCATGACTACCGCAACAATTCGACTCACGTTGTCTAACGTTAGTGCAGTTTGAACGTGACCAGTTAGTCGTTATGCCGCGAAATCAAGTGCTCGTCGCCGCTTAAAAAAGTGATCAAGAAATGAAGAAAATTGGGAGAATTTGCCGCAGACCTGGGTCCTATTGCTACAGAAACATCTGGGATTGGTATGTGCATACAATAATTATAAATTATTAGAATAATATCAAAGAATATTCATTAGAAGCAATTCAGAAAGTCTTAGTCAAATGGTCCATAGGACGGTACAACTCATCTTGAATAGTACCTTTGATCTTTACACATATATATCGGGTAAAGAACAGTTTTATCTTCAAATCATTGCTCAAGTTATAACATAAAAGTTTATGAAACTTATTTTCGATGAAAAATCGGTCTATTAAGAAATTGAGTATTCGATCACCGAAGGCGGGCAAATAACCGTTACAAACGTTTTCCCCACCGCCATTTGTATTCTTAACAAGTTAAAAGATTGAACCCAAAAATTTCCACGCAATACTAAACATAAAAATCTGTTACTCAATAATCGATACTATTAAAAATGACCAACAATTTAAATTACATATATATTTTATTATGCATATGAATTTTAACATAGAGAGACAGAATTCTTTCGTTACAATGAATCAAGACATTCTCTATTTCATAGCTGACAACAAATGTTTTCAATAATCTAATGATCATTTAGCGCATTATATAATTATTCTCGATGTTCGCCTATACTTTTCGCAATTTTATCGACATATTCGATACCGAAGAGGTCGCGATGTTTCTCTTTCATCTTGTAAAAAGAATGAATAATGTTATCAACTTAGTAAATTAAATGTACTGTTGTATAGAACAAGTACATTCGAGATTAAAATCTAAATGGACCTATGAAATTACACATATTAACCATTACAGAAACACAAGTTTCACTAAAATTCGATCAGAATAAAATGTACAAAAAAAGACTCCTATAGATAACGTACACGCTACGGAATAATACAACGCACGAAAGACCATTTTCCTCTTGGTATCATCATTCACTCGTTCCTTAGTCGTTCGCCAGTTGATCTGAGTATTTCAGAGTACTGATCAATATATGCGCCGCAAAAAAAATAATTTTAAAAGAAAGTCATATTTATGCATTGAGATTACTCATTTACAATTTATGGAACGAGACGTTATTAACATCGTGTCTCGTATAGACCGCTTTTACCTATATATCTCACCCACTTTATAACGTCGTGATCGGAATAATTTAACTTGGATTCAAACACTTTCAAATAGCGTACTTTAAATCCAGAAGGGGCGAACGGTACTTCGAAAGTCATCGATATCGGAGGCCGTGTCCATTTCTTCTTTGTATCAGTTTCAAGCAAATCAATCTCTGCGGATAACTGAGTTTCCTTCATACCAGGCATACGTTTAATCTTCCATACAATCGCGTTCTCAGATGCTTTGTATTTCGCTTTTCCTTTTAAACAAATTAATTGCACTCCAGCAGTATTCAGAGGTGTTGGTACTCGTACTTCAATCTTCTGACTTAGCAGAGATGGCTTGAAATTTGTTTTTAGTACTGCTTTCACTTCCATCTTAGTACGACCCACCTCACGTACCAATGGAATGACACGGAATGGCAATGATATATCTTTAGTTGTACGGTATCTGTGAGACATTAAAAAAAAGACATTAGAAGATCTAATAGTAGGAGAGAACAATTTAGAAACTTTTCTTCTTGAGACTTTTACCTCATCAACTCGAATTCACCATCAGGTGGTATGAAACTAATGGCATGCTCTGTCTCAAATTTACTGAGTTTAACACATTGATGAAACTGGCAGTCATCGATAACAACAACAGGCTTGCCAGATCTACCACTAGTAGGGTCATCGCCTCCACCTCCCAGTCCACCTCCACCCTTTGTACCCTTAGCATCCATAACAATTTTATCGTTGATTCCAAACTTGCACTCTGGCATTCCAGATAAGTAAGATTTCATCACAACCTGTTACAGCAGAAGTAAAATATTACAATTGAGTTCTATAGCACTTTAATATTTTAAGTAGTGACTTTAAATACCTTTCCAGCTACATGTGCACTCAGGACTTGACCCTGAGGGCTCATTAAGAGATTCACAGATTCAAGAACATCTAGGAATAATTCATTGCGTCTATACTTGATACCCTCTCTTCTCCATCCTATCTGACCAGTTACTTGGGAAGTGATCTGAGCTTGTTCCTCTTTTGTTGCTGATTTTACTCCTTGTTGAGTGATGAATGTCTTTAATACTCCAGTATCACAATTCTGTGGATACCCAAAATCCAAAATTTCTGCACAGAAAGTTCTAGTTATTCTTTTCCATTGCACTCTCTCAATAGTTAATTTTGTCTCATGGTACTAACCATCCAGCAATTCATAAATTAATACAAAGTTGTTCTTAATGTTTTCTTCAGAGATCTTGCCAAAGTATGACTGCATAACATCTATGATTTTTAGTAAGAACTCAAATACCATTGCTGCATTCACATTTTGCTTGGTAACAGCAGCCAACCAAATGTTGGCTCGTTTTATATGAAAAAAAGATGTTCTTGCAATGTTGGTAACAGGTGAGCGTACTTGTTGCCTAGCATGGATAACATTGACACGAAATGCATCGACTGCATTCCTTCCAATGTCATCTCGATACACTCTGGAGATGAGCACTTCTCCTTTGTGATTGTATACAAATAAACCCCCTATCATTTTGACAGAGGGTACTCTTTATTGCTTCAACTACAACCAACCTATGAGCAAATATTTAATAATTACATAGCATTCTTACTTCAGAAGTTAATTTAGACTATAAAAGCTATATATATTTATATGCACTGATTCTAAGTAAAGACATTATATGTATATATATGCCTTGAAGATATCATCAAGGTTGATATTTAAAGAGGAAAAAAGACTAAAAAAGTTTAGTAACTACACAGAATGATTAGATATTAATATCTAGCAACAAAATTGTATTAAATCCAGTTGGAAAAGGATAAACTTTGAAAAGATTAGAATTAGCAATTTATCTATATGTTAATATAAAATTTCCAATCACATACTCATTCGTAGAATATAATATAAATATACGTGCACAAGATAACGCCCCTTTTCTTAAATGACATTTAAGGTTTTCTGATATGTCTTGTAAACGGTTAGTATTATTGATCGGAAATGGAACTGCCTATACCACAGATACTGACATTATCAGGCGTTCTTTAATGAATTTCAATATGCACAGAGTTATAAATATGAATTTCAATATCTTAAAAGATCACTTACGCATGGCTCTTATTGCTGGACAATTAAAATAAGCGATACTAATTTGTATCGGCCTCCGAAATGTACGGTGTCGGTATCAACCTACTGGTGCGAGTGCGAACTATCAAATGACGAAAGCAACACCCACTTTTCTGTACTACGTGTCTCAGAGACAAATATCATTGTAATAAATTATCTTAATAATAACCATTACCTCCCAGGATATATAGCAATTTGATATTTCAAAGTTTAAATTCAACTTTTAGCTGTTATATTTGCGAACACATCGGTTGTATATTTATAGGGCAAACAGGGTTGTTGTATTGATCCCAAAACCGGTAGTTATACATTTATCAGCATAATCAATATTTAATAAAAATCTACAAAATTGTAGAAACATATCAGCGAAATGATTTAACAGTTTCCATTGTATCTGGACGTTTTAAGAGAACGTTTTATTCACAGAAAAACGATTCGTCAGGTCTAATGATAAAAATGTTGAGTGGGTCGGAGCCTTGATTGTATGTTTTTAAGGTGTCCGAAAATTTGTACCTTTCTCCTCATTTCAATTCCACATGAATGACGCAGCTTATTCCATTCAAAATACAAAGTCCAATATCTTGATACCTTGGTGTTTAAATACACCTATTCTCTTCTTTCAAGATAGTATATCAAACATTTTATATCAACGCGTGCGCATTACAATACTTTTGGATGGTTGTGTATCTTAGAATTGTAAAATGTGATATGCACTTTAAAATATTGAACATCGCATAGTTATGAAATTTTAATATAAGTGGAAACGTTTATAATTATGGCCACGACTGACCAAGATGCAAATAACAATAACCTTCCTTTACGTGAAAATTTAGTAAGTTTTTATTACCGATTAGGTTATACATATTATTTTATAGTATTTTAATAGCCGTTTGTATACTTCAAAATTTCGGTATATCGATGAGAATCGATCTGTACATTGGATAGTTACATAACTAAAGAAAAAATTTCTGTAGAGATAAAAGATAACTAACACGTTTTTCTTTAAGGTAAAAACTGCTGTGGAATTTTTACAAAACCCTAAGGTAGCAAGTAGTCCTGTAGGGCGTAGACAGGAATTTCTTAGAAGGAAGGGTTTGACAGAGGAGGAAATTAAAATTGCTTTCAAATTAGCTTCCATTGACTTAACTGCTGATCATAATGTTATTCATAAACCAAAAGATTATACTGTGGTTCCTATACCACCAGGTCAAGTCTATCCATATTTTCAAGCACATCCATACCAAATAACTTTATACCATAAAATTAAAGAATTTTTTAATGCTACTGCTCTTATTGGAGCTACAATATATTGTGTTTATTGGTTCTACAAGGTAGTGCTAATATATTAGTCTTAACACCAGCCTCATGTTGTAATCATACCAAGGTTTATGTTCATTCTATTACAGAAATTTATTGAACCATTCTTATTTGGTCGAAAAAAGAAAGATACCATAAAGGATTCAGTTTCTGAATTAGATAAGACTATTCAAAATTCTATGAAAGAAGTAAAACAGTCCATTTCAAAGGTTGAGGATGATGTACAAAAACTCACACAAAATCAGTTTCTTGACCCAATGGTACCTCAATTAGTACAAGAACTGAAACAAGATTTATCTAGTCTTAAGACCTTACTGTTATCAAGGTATATGTATACAAGTAATACATTACAATACTGTTAGGATTATAATACATGACCAACAATTTGGATAATAATATTTATTGCTATACAAGTTACTTTGCTTATACATCACTATTTCATGGTGAAATTTATACATTCATAAGAAGATTTCTTTACAAGACATTATGCAGACACATACAAATTTATGTATATTCCATGTCAATCATACCAGGACATATTTGTCTACAAATACAAAAGTAATATGCTTTTGGAAAAATCAGCTACAAAATATATTTGTTCAACTTTGATCAGTTAGAAAAAAAGAAAACATGTAAAAAACACAGAGTCTAGTCTCAATATTTTATACTACATCATAATTAGGGTATCCAAAAAGGGGATTCAGGCATAGTATAAAATTTGCGTAAAAATCGTGACATTACTATTTACCAGAGTATTTAAATTTTAAACAGAAAACAATTTCCAAGTGCACCAGCATCTATACCGTCATGGCAATTAGATGCTGCAGGTACAAATCCGGAAAAACCAACTGAACGAGAAGATGATGCTGGAAGTGGTAGTAGTACTAATAATTCAGATAGTTCTCTGGAAATGATTCGTGAGGATCCACCCAAGGAGTAATCTTACAATATTTTATAAACTGTCACTTCCATCACAAGAGTCTTCGATATGCAGGATATTCTATGACGTATATCCAGAAATAATGGAAACTGATCATGTGTAATATATATTTCTGAATCAATTGTTGCTGATATTGCATTCAATTTACCCAATTAAATGTTATTTCATCTATTTCCAACGAAGACGAATTTGTATTTTATTATTTCTACAATGGGTATGTTAAGGCTGCTATGACACAAAGGGATACATGTAATACACCTTTTTTTTTAAATAATAATAATAATTCTTTCAAACTGTAGTTATTACTTCATCTACTTAATAAGTTCCTGAAAAAAGCTAACACTGTTCCCTTTGATTGTAATCGATATTTCACCTTTGTTTTTAAGGCCTCTCGAATTGTTCAGTAACATTCTTTTTATTTTCAATATAATGTCATTTAACTAATGTATCAGGAAAGGTATAAAAACCAAAAATAAGTACTATTTTTACAAACTAAATATGTACATTTTAATTCGTACTTAAATTTAAAGAGACAGTCGCAATACAAAGAACCACATTAAGCCACTGATCGTATTTATACAACAGATCGTATCTTGCACAGTGTATTTGACATTAAAAAAATTAATATTTCGACATATACATACAACTGCACGTATGCGACAGCAGGAGACATACATACATGTACATACAGACACATTATGTACAGATAGAGATTTTTCATTGAGTACGGTGTAATCCTGCTCTTTTCTATCTTTATTACCCATGGCTAATCATATTTTGGGATAAATTACAATTAGTAAATATAAATTCACGTGAGCAACTTGTTCGATACACGTCAATAAATAAACAAATGTTCTCAATTATATACAAATTAATTGAGAACAAATTATCGTTATCATTTTAATTCTTGTGCACATGGGTGTATCCTCCTATTTCCAATCAATGTTTCACGATTAAGTAATAATAACATTTATATATATGTATATACGTACATGTATATATGCATATATAAATATTATGTGAAATTCACGTTTAATGGCTTAATTACACTGTTCATTCGCGCGATCCAATCATTCTGCAACAAATACATTCCTCGTCGTAATATGTACAAACCATATAATATTCAATAGTACTTTTGAATGATTAAACAAGCGAACAAAGTATACAGTCGTGTACGTCCAATTACATCCTTTCACTGTTACTTTATTCGTCTATTTTTTCTGTATTTTCCTCTTTTCCATTGACATATTAACATCGTACATCGCAGTTTTAAATAATTCTAATCTTTTCCTCAAAACTTTGATGAAATTAAATCGTCTCTTCATAGTTCTTTAATACTTCCTTTTATTAGTAGGTAATCAGGATAACTGCCTCACTGATACAGTGAGTAACAGCAGAAGTCCCTTTGAAGTGTGACTTAGTACTTCATCATTCTTTCTTTTTTTTATTCCTTACACTACACCCTAGTTCTAATAATATAATATATAACAGAAATAACTCGTTTAAAAAATATAACATTTTTGCTTTTTCTCATCATGTGTGGCAAAAAAACATTCAGTATAATATCTTTACTTAGAACAAAATTATTTAGTGTGAAGTATACGAGTCCGTGTTATTTCAAGAACTCGATCTTTGGCAAATATATCTTTTTAAGAAAATGTGGTGTATGTGTATGCGCGCGCGCGTGTCTCTCTCTCTCTCTGTGTGTGTGTATGAATATATGTGTATATATTAATTATTGCGCACACATGAACATAACGAAAAATATACCAGGATGTTTTGTGCTGACATAAATAGTTCGGTTGAAGGTCCCACTCCCTTTTCTTCTTAATCTTACTCGCTACGGTTCCGTATTTTGTTTTGTCGTGTTAACGAGCGTAGAAAACGAGGACAGGGTAAAGGGATCATCGTCTCATCATTCAGGCAGCATCCTAATGTCTATTATCCGTAACAATAATAATCCTAGATTAAACACGCTAAATTGTTTTTCGCAGTTCGATCTCTAATAAATCTAACGCTTCGATCAATCCGGGCTATGCTACCAAGTATGATGTAAATGTAAATTCCTGGAAAGAACGGACCGCACGTCTTGCGTGAAACGTAGTGCATCCAAAACTGGGAGTAAACTCAACAGAGCCGTGTCCCCCGCGTCGCTAAACCACGACTTGATTGGTATCGCGTTATCTGTGATAACAGAAAGAAATGTTTTGAAACTTGTGGCAGAATTAAAAAAAACATAACGATACATATTTATCAATCTAAATGTCTTCGTACAAGTAAAAATATCTAAATACAGACGAAGCCACAGGTGTACTAACATAACATCCAAGAAGTGCAACTTCTAAAGTACATTCTTTGCATATGCATCTACCGTGGAAAACGTAACGCGTGACAAAATATTAAAACTACTATTTTCTTGGATGCTACTGAGTAAAAGCTCGGAATATAAAAGTAAAATCTAATCTATAAACTCGGTACCTGATGCACAGGGATTATTAAAAAAAAGTATCTAAACAGTTGGAATTATTTTACTGCCGAATCGGCGTAGTGTCCAGTGCTTATTCAGGTGGAGGAGCATTTGGCAATTGATCGTATTTTTTACATTATCCGTAGGCCTGTATTCAGTGCTTGCTTACAGAACATCAACGCTGATAGCTGCAAATAGATATGGTTTTCGATCAGATTATTCTGAGCTGTGGATCTTGGTTGTTTGTTTAGCCGAACTATTGAAAAAATCTCGTTGCAAGAGTTAAATCGTTCGAAAACAAAATCGTATGAAGGAAATATGTATTGAAATCGTATTTATGCTGAAAGTCGATATCGAGATAGAATTTAATATCTCGGAAAAACGTGTGTGCAATTCTTACATTTAAAAAAAAAATCGTAAAGTGATGATTATTGAATATCACCGTCACATATACGATACTGATTGCGATCTACAAAACAGAATGCTGTAGGAACGTTACGAATGGCAAAACACAAGCACCTGAATTCCCTGAGATTATGATTAAATGTTTCATTATGAGAATAATCTTTTTGTGAACTTGATTAGGAATTATCTAAAGATAATTATGAAACATTTATTTAATGTTTTCAATTTAAATTAGATTGTTCCACTACTCGTATAGTTGTGCACATGTAAGCAAGTTCTGACTACAGGTTGTGATATACAGTACATGATACAATAGTAACAATGAAATTACGAATCTAATGGTATAAATATGCATATTAACGCGTTCGCTGCCGACGGCTCCGATCGAAGCAGCCGACAGCAAACGTGTTTAATTAAATTTCATCGTTTGTCCATGACCTGTATGTGCAACTGATTTACATACAAGTATTATTGTATCATGCTGGGGAGGAAAATGTAATAAGTTTACATCGGATAATTGTTTTTAGTATACGCCGAAAAAGTAGAAAGTTTTTATGTTAAATTAGGCAATTACATCATTGGGGCAATGTACAGTGAATATTTTTACAACAAAACCAAGATGTATACTTACGTGGGTAAGCTCTGTAGGCTCCAGGACTATTATCAAGTATAAAGACCGATGCCAGGTCTGGACAAATTGCAGACAGGTCTTTAGTATAAGAACCCATTTCTGGTGTACAATGTTGCCTATAATATCTGCGTCTTAGAATACCTCTGTTGTTATCTAACTTATCCGCAACAGCTGCTCCATAGATTTCCATGGAAGCAGTGAAGACCACTAGTTCATACCTGCAAGACAATAACATGAAAAGTTTATGACTTAAAAGAAGAGAACCACTACCATATGCAACTGATTACAAAGAATCCAAATGATCTTATCTGTTAGATATAATAGATACAAAGTTTCTTTCAAAGTATAATACATTCTGATAAGTAAACTTACCATTGACTAACAATGTCTAAAAAGAAATCTACATGTGGTCTTTTATGAACAAAAAATCTGACCGGATGTCTGTCTATTGTCACCTTAAGAACAAAATCTGGAGGTGTACCAGGCCTAACAGTTGGCCTTGCTACTCCATCGTGATGAGAATGAATTAATGTTTCATCTAAATCCAATACTAATACTTTCCTGTGAACTATACCTAGAAGACACTTTGGTTACATATAAACAACAACAAGTATTGTCATTTTATATTGCATGAGCAATTTAAATTTAACAATACTCACAAAGCCTGTGCCTTGACAATGGAGACAGTGGGAAGATTTCATATTTAACAGGTTGCATTTGTGATATCTAAAAAATAATCAATTGGTCATAAAAAAAACCATTTATTATGCACTGAATTGTTATACTACCGAGCAGTCAACAAATAACAATATACTGAGGCAATTGGTAAAACCAGGAATAACACTACGTGGTGACACCAAAGATAAGAAGTTTCAATCACAAGACTGGATATATTCTACTTGTAGCCAGTGGTGCATATAACTCTACATACATGCTGTACTGTCACAACAAAATCATGGATCGAATACTTGTCGAAAACAGCGAGGAATTTCTCGAAATTAAGGAAAAGCTTGGACCGGCGTATCAATGGAGTGCATTGGCACAGCATTGGAAGAGGGGAGTAGGGGATGTTATAGTGGATAAACAAGGAAGAACACTAGCTGATAAGAGGCGCGAAGCACCTACTTACGGCTCTAACCTGCTTCTTGAGGAGAAAGCAGACACAAGTCCACACACGGGAGGCCATCAAGAGAAAAGCTCTCATCCCCATCTGCAATTGCTTCAGCATCTCTACTGGTCTTCTCACCGGGCCGAAGTCCGGCAACACTTTATCTCCAGTCTCTCTCGTCTCTGCGTTAGACACAGGGTCTCCTTTTTTTTTTCCCCTTTACGACACTCCACTTCGCGTTTTCAACCGTATTACACAAACTTTCCCCGTAAACAAACGTTCTTCACGCGGACCGGGTGCATGGGATCTGAACAGTTACAAGCATATTACGAACCGTCCGCGTACGATAGCGCTCTGCACGTGTAAACAGGCATTCCCGTATCTTGTCATGGTTTGTTGGCGAAAATCCACGGCACGGAATCTTTTCTCACGCACACCACGCAGTAGCGGCCGCCATCTTTCGCACATCGACCCAATTTTTCCATGCGCTACGCTGGCGCGCATCGTCTTCTGAAAATTCTATTTTACACGCGTGCATAATACAAATCACGGTTCGAATTTCCATCGGGCGCACCACCGTAGCACGTGGAAAAATGTTCAACGTGACGACGGACCATCGGGCGACCCGCGAAGTGTTGCATAATGGGAGCACGAATGAAACCGGTATACACGAAACATTTGCTCACACAATTCGATGATTCGCAAGCGTGTTTTGAAACCCGAGTATAAGTTTCAATTGCGTTTTTTTATTTCGTGGTGCATTACCGCATGGTAACGATGATAATGATGTGGTACAAAAACTGCCAACATGTGATACAGATATACTATATGTATGTACAAATTGAAAGCTAATGAGTCTCCACTGCAATCAATGGACGTAAAGCTAGATACGATTGATAATGCTGATTTTATTCTTCTTACAATGATAAGACGAGTAACAGTCGCATCTGATTAGTATTTAAGCATTACATTCGAATTCTTTGTTCAGCTATGGCTAAAAACCAAACCACGCGGTCAATTATTTCCAATGAAGATGGCGTAATGCATATTATCTTTGCGTGATACCATTCCTAAATAAGTTACACTTACGATATTACTAAAATTCACCAGAGCTTTTACGAAATTAATCTATTTCTCGTGACACTATTTCACGAAGGATACGAGAACCACGTGCGAAATGTATCAATGAAAAGCATTAATCGTCGCTTTTAGCATTATTTCCTCTCTTTCGTCCGAGCAGACTTACCGCAATGGTGCAAAATTTAAAAATAACTTTCTCCGGGGACCTGTAAAGCGCATTTATATGCATTTAACGATATATGGATAACGCACGGGATTATATTGTTGCCCGTATTGTTGGCTTGAATTTTCAAAATTTCAATCGATCTGATTGGACAAGCCCGGTGGACGACCCTCCTTTTTCAGTTGGACGTCCATTTTACCTCACCTGATTGCTTGTTTCCCCACCAATCGGAGTCAAACGTTGGGCAAAAAGGAAAGGAAGCGTCGGCATTCTGTGATGATGTTGCTTACTCACAGATGTAACAAACGATATCAACTTTAAAATCTAGTATGACGTTTATTATACAAGCAGCTGCTTGCATTCTATCAAAATACAGTACCGTTAGTGATCAACTCGTGCGAGAGACCCGAATTTCAACGGACCTGTAGAAAGTCCCCATCGAGCCATTCGATTTTTTTTTCCGCGCTCTGTATTTACGAAGTCCCAAGAGAACACGATGACGGATCTAACGGAGTTACAAATGAACGTGGCCGCTCTGAAGCGAGTGGACCCTTATGTGAAGGATATTCTTGGGACTGCGACGCACGTAGCACTGTACACTTTTAATGCTGTTAATAACGAATGGGAGAAAACCGACATCGAGGGTGCTTTATTCGTGTACTCGCGAAATGGCGAGCCCTACAACAGTGTTCTTATAATGAATAGGTAATATATATTGTGTCCACATTTTCACATAAAATGCTCATATAATTGCAATGAAAGTCAAGATAATAATGTATAGGATATTAATGATCACACGTGTAATATAAGAATCTATATGTTGAGACTTATATTCCAAGTTTTGGGGTATCATACCATGTGCTATGTAATAGTTTTGATGGAGGTTACAGTCTAGCATCGTACAACATAAAACACATATTGGGGAATTGTTTGAATAATAGTTAAGCAAGTTTATTTAGATAAGTTGTGTAGTATAGGGCAATATATACTTTCAATAATATTTTACAGATTAAATACAAATAACCTAGTGGAACCAGTTACACAAGGTTTAGACCTACAGTTACAAGAACCCTTTTTACTCTATAGAAACTCCAGATGCAACATTTATGGCATTTGGTTTTATGATAAAGAGGAATGTGTACGTATCGGTGCAATGTTGAACAAGCTTGTTAAAGATTCAGAGGAGAGCCGTAAGGCTAGTAATAAATCTGCTGTTAATGTGAAAAAGAGTTCTGGACCTACTGTGAACAATGTTGATATATTTAGTATGCTCAGTAAAGCTCAAGAAGATTTTAATACTAATAGAAGTAGCACTGCCAGTGGGGCAGGTACGGGGGAAGTACTTAGTTCAAAATCCCCCTTGGTCACGCCTACAACAGAAAACATGTCTGGTCCTCTTGCTGCTCCATTGGGGCCAGATGTTACATCGCAGAGTGTAATGGACTTTTTTGCAAAGGCAAAAGTTAGTACTCCCATCAGACTTGATCAGGTCACAATACATGAGATTTTTTCTTTAATCATTGCACATATTGTTAGTAAGGTATCCGCTAGGCAGGAAAATATGTAGGTTGTTGCAATTTTTTAGGTTAATACTGGACATTTTAAGGCTGGAGATCAACCTACTCCAGGTGGTACTGTTGCGAGTGAAAGCAAACCTTTACTTGCACGCTTAATGTCTCATCCAGCTGCTCACACTGTGGAACACATTGAAAAGCAACATAGATCTATTACCCCGCAACCGACTAGTACTCAACAGCAATCTCAGGCAACTCCTCCAGCTAGAATAATAGTGAACAGTGCCAGCAGTGTTTCTGCTACAAACAGATCTAAGCGACGAAGTAAGTCTGGTACTCAACAGGATTCGATGATATCCACAGCTACTTCTATGAGTCAGGATGCAACACCGTCCGCGAATCAGAATACCTCCGATACAAATGGTACGACAGGATTCCTTAGGATACAGTCACCGACAAACGCATCGTCCTCGAACTCAACAAATCATCAGGCCTCAGACGTTGTTGGCTCTAGTAATTCGAATCCCCTAGCATCTTTGTTCTTCGGTCATGCATCTGCATCAACGGTGAGTTGGAGGTGTTCTTGTCGGTTAGATTCGTAGAATTCTACAGGTCGTTCAAGTAGAGAGGGATTGTGAATCTTTTATTTTTTGTTGTTCTCTATTCGATCAGGCATCGGATGATATCGTTCCGGCAGCACCTGCTATGTCGGGAAGAGGATCGGCGCCAGCATTAATACCCCCTGTTATGTTCGCCGCACCTAGTCCGCCCGAAACTCTAGCGCGACCATTAGAACCATTGACGAGGAACCAGCTTCTTCAAGCTTTTAACTATCTATTGAGAAGCGATCCAGATTTTATCAACAAACTTCACGAAGCTTATGTCAAATCGTTCGGCGAAATTCTGTCCTAAGGCTTACGAATTGTTAACGTGACGTAAATGTGAACCCGTCATGCGGGTTGTGACGGTCGACTGATTAAAAACGATCGAGCGAAAAAAAAAACAAAGGAGCCCAGTATCCCTATGCTATAACATGTACATAGACGGTACCGTAATTTCGTGCTCGATTTTTCGATTGACAATTGACTGGTTGCCCACTTTTCGTTGGGGGAGAGAACAGAGGATAGATTTAAAAGGAGATACATACCTTAAACAGTATTTTTATAAATTAATACCATTTTTCTCCCGGGGAAAAGTTACGGAATGGGCCGCGACAATGCGTTAACAAGGTATGAGCCGTGTAACAAAAAAAAAGAGAAACAAAACAAATATTGCAACAAAAAAGAAAAGAAACGACGGACAAAGAATGTGGAAATTGTACGATTTTAAACTGTGATGCCAAAACATTTATATTACGCTAGCGTTTTATGGTTACTACTATTTTGGAGACAGAGCGAGAGACAAATTTTTCTGAGCCGATCAAATGGAATACCTATTTTACAGAGTAATGACATACCCCCTCCTATATACCGGGTATTCGATATGGTATGTGTATGTAATTGATAAACTAAAAAAAAAAAGAAGCAAATAAACAGAGACCGATTACTGAAAAATCGTTTCAATGTATTTCAAAGTCGATCTTTTGCATCGATTCATCCCTCGTAAGTAACACGCGCTGTAAAACAGATGTCGCGGGTACAGCTTCACAATAATTAATAACTATCGCACGGTTATGCTACATTATCACAATACAATAATATTTATATGGAATACGATTACTGTATGAGAAGTACATGGTCGTCTACCAGGATAATGAATTTCTCGGAAGATACCCTACGCGATCGAAAGCAAAATAAAAAAAAAAGACACAAGACTTCAGACTTTCATTGTTCTTCGTTCGTTCGTGTTGCTTCTTCGAGGGGCAGGAAGAACAACGGTTTCCTCTTTATTGCTAGATTATAACGATCCCGTGGCATGGATTCGAGAGGTTCGACGAAATTGTGGAACCGCCGGATTACATTACAGCGTTTGTTCGCCGCCTAAGTAAACGGTGTGTACTCATCTAATACGATAGAAAATACATAATCTATTTACAATGCTACAATATTAAGGCGATATCATGCGTTTCATTGTATTCCGTTATCGAGTCATGGTACAATGGGTCCTCTTCAGTCGGGCCTCTCTCTCTTTCTCATTCACTCATCAAACCTGACACTCTGCCACGACGTATAGGGATCGCGTCGATCGATGCACAACACGCAGTGTTATTAATTTACAGCAGTCGCATGTATTTTTTTTGTTCTTTTGTTTTCTTTTTTTTTTTTCACAAAATTCACAGCCAAGTGGAGCCATCAGTGAGCCCGCTAGCTTCCTATATAGTCTTACTATACGTCTATCCGCTAGAACACTTTTTCTTTTCTTAGAACGTCTTTGGATCGCTGAAGGAAAGGGTCGTTCAGACGAGAGGCACTTTCGGTGGTCCTAATAACGGTGGCCCGTTGTCGGGCATCCGATGCGGTCCGAGTTTGTCGTTCTGCGTCGGTACTGGCTGAAGCAATCGAATCGCTAGGCTGGCCAGTATCAGTAGAACGATCAGACCGCAAATCGGTACCGCGATCGTGGCAGTCTTGAACCAGCCGTCCGTTGACTGACCCCCGTGATTGATCGGCTGCAACGGGCCGAGGAAAGGTCGCTGGTCACCGACCAACACTGGAACAATAAACGAGAGAGTCCTTCGGTAACGCCGCCGGTACAATATTATGCTTGGTATAAATCATGCAAAACGGGGTTCGGTTATTCATAAATTCGCGCAACCTTCAACTTTCACTATTGTTTCAAAACGATGGCTCGAGGAGTTCGTAGAAGCGGTGTATGAAATAAATATAACAAGGGAATAAATCTGAATAATCGAATCAAACGCGGTTGGGCTCCGTTAAAGTATCAAGAAGGGGGAAGAACGCTCTTTATTTTTCGCCGCAATTGTGTGTCTGCTAAATGAAAGGCGAATTAAAACGAGGCATAAGAAAAATCTTCGGTCGATTGACGGAGGTTGCGTGGAATTTCAGCCTGTAGGTATAATTTTAATGATCCCGCAAACGAGACCGTTCGTTCAACCTTGAAGAGTCTTGTTCAGCCTGTTTCTCATGGCTGGACTATCAACGTGGTTGCAGAGATCCTGCTCGCAACAGAGGTATCCCGTGGGACATTGCCGCTCTTTGAAGCTTTCGTCGAGACAACCGCTGTATGCGTTGTGCTCCGCTCTTAATAACGATGGATTCGTGTTGGATGGTAGCTCGGTGAAGCAGCCTCTGCCGCGGCACATGTATCCTTGCGGCACGCATTCCGGTTGATTACAGTAACACCTCACCTCTCGGACATTCGGCGAATCTGAAAGCAGAGAAAAGCAATCGAAATTAATTAATTTTCATTATATCTTATTGAAATTAATCGACACGGAACAGACACTATAAAATATAAATTCTACAGTGTGATGTGTGTGTGTGACTCTGCGAGACCGCATGTATGTACTTGCTTATCGGCGTAACGAAGTCAAGCAAGGGCATCGAGTTCATAAAGCGACAGGAAAATAAAATGAGATGCAACATTAAATAGCTTATCGGCTGTTCGTGTATGCACGAGGATCAACGCTATATAATATTCATCGAAAAATAAAAAAGAAGAAGCAATCTTCAACGATACATTCCAAATCCTCAACAAGAACTAGAGCACCCCGCGATGTCAGAGAGTTCCTTTCCAAACTGGAATTACTACCGATATCACGATAACGCGAAATAAGACATCGCTCTGTGGATCGTATACGTACTCGTATTTTCTGATAGTCGCGGTGGTCATCGGTGATAAATGATTCATGCTGATTAATGATGCAATATCACGGGTGGTCCGTGTACGAGTGTATTCGTCCCCGTTGCAACTCGTCCTCGTTGTACTATCTCGAATATAATAAGATTCGATCATCGAAATTATACAGAGATTGGAGGGAGGGGAATACGCGGTCGCATTCCCCGCTAATTGATTACAACTCATCTTTATTTATATGCCCCCGGTCTCGATAAGACCGTTCTCGAGGATGTGCAATATAATTCCACGAACGGTCGGCATTTTCGCGTTTCAGCATCCTAAGCACAAAACCGCGCGTCGATCGTTGGCGGGCCGCCCCTAATGAGTAGCCCGACTGAAAGTCATAAAAGATTATACCCTGCTCGTCGCAACAGGTATACACACAGGCCTCTAGCTTTCATTTACCTGTCCCCACCCCCTCCAGGATACCGAACCTTTTCTCGAGGAAGATACGCGAAAGCTGCTGGGTAAACGAATTGCTCGGTATGACGACGGGTGAACTCCCGTCGTTCAGTTTACCAAACAGATTTCTCGAAATAAAATGACAAACGTCCGAGGGCCGAAAAATGTTTTGTATAAAAAGAAAACGCGTTCGAGATCGGTTGCTCGGAGGGAATTCAACCAGAGGGTCTGGACGGAATCCACCACGAGAGGAGAAACACGCCCGATACACCAGGGACCCCGTGTGCTTGACGTAGCGTAAATATACATTACAACGAACGGAGTAGAGAGTTCTCTCTCCGCAGTGTGTTAATGAGGGCCCCGCACGAAATAAACAAAGAGACATGGAGCAGTTCGCGGTGACTAACCATCGTGGCCCCGCTTGTTTATTATGATAATGCGAAGCCATCTTTATCCAATCGCGGTCATCGGAATAATTTATTTCGCTGTGCACGGGCTACCGCAGAACTCGAACTGCAGGAACTTCTATTCAAACGCAACGAAATTATAAAGTGGCAATACGCTCTTTCATTCGATCGAAACTGGATCCATCGAATGTGTTCTCCGGTACCTATCGTGAACACGATTTGTTCTTTGTTCTTATATCTTTTGAATCGCCAGGAGGTATTTAAGCACCACCACGGTGGACGAGAAAAGAAATTAAAAATTGAACAAAGAACCTCCCGCGACGATTAAACGCGGTACCAGTTGTTTATTATGGTAATGCGAAGCCATCTTTATCCGCGACTCTGGTCTGTCTCTAGAACCTTCCCCCTTCACCTCTCCCCTATTAAACGACCCTTTCTCTCTCTTTTTCTCTCGACAGAACCTTCTTACATTCTCCTCTTTCTCCTCGGACTTCTTGCTAATAAGCCTCCAGCGGCAGCCTTCCTTCTCCCTCCCCCCCTTGTCCCACCCCCTTCTCGTCTTGTGCACCCTCGATTTCTCTCTCTTCGATGCACACGTCTATCTCTCTTTCTCCCCCCTCGTTCTCTCTGTCTCTGGTCGACGAAGAGGCCGGCTCATCGGGGAATAAAAAACGCTAAAACAGCCGAGTCACAAAAGAAAGATTAAAGTGGAGAGAATATATGGAGAGAGGCATGCGGCTCTCGTTGTGTGCGCATCGTTGCTGCTGCTCAGTTGGCGGGCTCTCACGAGCCCTTCTGAACGAAAGAGAGGACACGAGAAAAAGATAGACCCATAAGAGAATTTTTAAGAAAAATTTCTTCATTGCTCCCGACAGATTACTTAAAATTTCACAAAGTAACCTTCGATCGATCCTTTCGCGTTAATGAAAAATTCCAGTCGCTGAACACCAACGATTCTTCGTGATCTTTACAACCTTTCTCTCTCTCTTCCTTTTTGGATGTAACATAATTGAAATAGACGTGTCCCGTTATTACACGATAGGCAGTATCGAAAAATTTCTCCAAAAGGAATTCGTCTCGTGGTGGCTAGACCACGCGTTGTAGAGGAGACCCAAATGGCGGAGGGGGGCACTAGCAGGAGGAAGAGAGAAACAAAAGAGGATCGCCGGAGAAGGGCCTCGTGTGCGTTTTAAAATAAAAAAAGGGAAAAAAGGGGAAGCAGCGGGAGGTCGAGAAGGCCCGGGCAAAAGAGAGATACGGCCGACATGCCTGGAGCCGAAGAAGACCCGTCCGAAAACAAACAGACTGCTTCGCGGGGTCGTTCGTTATGCGTCCGTGGCATATTAATTATTTCTCGACGGCCCCCCTCTCCCCTTCCTCTTTCTCTCTCTCCGCCTCGACCATATCGCTGGTATTTCGTCCTTTTACATTTTTTCCACCGGTTACCGAACGATTACATGTTCGTGGAGCATATGAATCGACGGTTCTGAGAGATCCATCGGCTTCGTTGTGTTCCATTATCTTAAAAGACCTCTTTAACTTGGAAAACACAGTAAAATGATGATTTCAAGAAAGTTTAATACTATTTATGTGCTTTTATTAACGTAGGAAAGCTTGTAGAGTGGATTTCAAAATTCTGTACCATTTTAATTTTTAGATATTACTATTTGAAATTTTTAATCTGCATAAACTTCTGCAGTGTAGTCATTATAATGTGTATGTATCTCCCTGAACTATACACAAATTCCGCGAATTACTCGAATTTCCCCTCAGAACGGCGATCCATCGGTTCGCTTTTCATAACGATGTGATGCTCGATTTATGTAAATGGGTGTGCGCGTGTAGCGGGGCTGGTGGAAGACTGAGAGAGAAAGACCTAACCGAGGGATAGAGGAAAAAAGGAAATAAAAGTATCGATGCTGCTGGCAAAAAAGTTAGACAGGCCTGAAACGCTTGACGAACGTCCCCCACCGTCGTCGACGTCCATCTATGTTTGCGTGTGTGTTTCATGCTCGTAAAGCTGTCCCCGATTTCTTCGGGCACGATCGGCGAATTCTCCGTACCCGTATCGCCTTGATAAAAGCATTGTCGCGCCGTATACATACGCGAAACACGCTTTCGACGAGGCTTAACCTTTAACATACTGACGTTAGATACATGGTATACATACAACTCCGTACGAGAGACATCGGATATATCTAACGAGATACACGTGCTGTTGCTTGTAGCTCACCGATAAGCTTGTTTATTTGTCAAACCGAGACGCAAGAGAGAAGGGTTCATTCGACTCGTCACTTATCTGGGATTAAATATTCATGTATGTATGTAGCCGTAGTAGCTCAAACACCCTCCCTTTTATAATTAACTAATTAATCGAATTTCTTCCGATTGTCTTGTTTACGGCTGATAAAACTCTCCACGAATTATCTGGAATTATCCTTCCTTGACGATACTCAATCGTTTCGTTTCAATGTATGTACAGTCGTTTATTGCATCTTTTGGGGCTGTAGGGGGCTAAATTTTCAGGAATGATGCGATAAACCTACCTTCTTTGCTGGGCGACAGAGTAGGCAAATTCATTATCTAAATAAAAAATTTCGTCATTTTTAATCATTTAAACGTGGAAATTTCAGTTTTTATAATAAGATGATACTTCTTAAACGAGTCGGCGAACGAGGGGCGAAAAAATAGATTTGTGAGGTGTTAAACGCTTCGCAGTGCGCCGTGAAAGTCCTGAAGCGGTCTCGAGTTCCAAACTCTCATGGATCCTTTACTGTACCATTCGAAAGAAATGGTACCCGACGAAGAAATACATGCAACCGAGGGGCGTACCTAAGATACAATAAACTAGCCTACATTAAACGAATGTCTGCTTGTAATTAATGTGTTTCGTGGATACGCGAAGTTTGCCTACGAAGTCGGTCGCAGTCTTGCGTGCGTCGTTGCGCAAAAAGAAAAGAGAATCGATACGCTGGTCGTCGGTAACGAGTCGCTAAAAGCACGCGCGCGGCTCCAAAAGGGTTACGGATTCGTTTATCTGCCACGAGGTCTCGAGCAACATGCCCGAGGATAGAAAGCCGTGCTCGACGGAAACTTGATTTGAACGAGGCCCGTTGTATATGCAATTAGAAGAGCGACGACCCGTGTATATATATATATATATATATACGTACATATATAAACGAGGGGGACCTACGTTGTGGCCGAGAGCACAGTGTACCTACACCATCGTCGGGGATGATGAAACTAATGAGTTTCTCTCGGTTCCCTCAAGTGTATCTGTAATGCACGTACATTGCGTAACAAGCGTTCCCTGAGGCCTGTGCAACAGCGCATTTATTTAAATCGCGAGAATTTTATTTTGTCTCAAGAAAGAAGAGGGGATGAGGAAGAGAGAACGATGGTGACACTGCAGGGTGGTACATCGCTAATGGCATTTACCGCCGGCCAATTACTAGAGGCCGAGCTGAATGTCGATAGCGTTCAATATCGGATTTTCTAATTAATAGGGACGACGCTGAACGCGTTATGTAATGGCAATTAGCGGTCGAGCACGTACATCGAGCAGCGACGATTATCAAACCCATTCGTTTTAGCGTCTGAATATCGTCGCCTGTGAGTTTATTTCCCTTTGCAGATGATATTAACATAGGACATGACGCGTGATTTCGCTTTTATTTTGGAGGGAAAAGGGCATACTATCGATTAAATTTCGCAAGC